AATGTACTTACCTACTATTGATATTTGAAACGTTGTTTAGTGTGTACACACCTCTAGTCTGTGTGTACACTATCACCGTGTACATTTTATGAATAATATGTTATTATGGAATAGGATACGTCAGGACAGTAAAATACGGCATTCGGTATCGATGATACTACGTGTCAATAAATTATCATCAATTGTTCTATCTCAAATTGTATTCGTAGCCATATTTTTCAGTCACACAGTGGTATAGGCGTTCATCGTGATGGTATCGTATTATTATGCTCGTTGACAATAACACGAGACATAGTCAAGCTTTTTAGAAAGATACGTGTCTACGGTAATATTAAACAATCATTAAAACTTTCTATATTTCTACAGTAATAATGTAACACGGACGTGTTTCAGTCGAACATGTATAATATTTCTATTTTAGACTATTTTTTTTCACAACTCGTCAGGCAGTAAGTTTGGATAATTCTAGGAATATTCCGAGTAATAAAAATGAGTACTAAGAAACGAAAACTTATATGAAGTAAGAATACATTTTAGTGTTGTAGAAAATTGTTCCTGGATGCGTCCTTGGCGTTCTCAGAAATCGGATATCTCATGTTTTAGATTCAACAGTTGAAGATACAATTTGTGGAGTACTTACGTATTATATTACTTCTTTTTGAAACTATTGTTGTGAGAATCTTGGCTTGCTTTTTTTCAGCCCTTGTAAAAAAAAATACCTTTGATAATTTATTATAAATATTCTACGGGTGAGGGATGAGGGGTAAGACATAAGTAAGAAATAGGAAACATTATGATATAATATTCACAATTTAAAGTTTTAATGCAAATAACGATGGCTTAAATAAAAATGATTTATGACAAAACGTATCAAACAAACCTAGTTATGTATATTGTATGTTATAATATTATATACACATAATATAGTAATTCTTACTAAAAATGTTAATATTTTTTTTGTAGTAGGGGCTTATTAAATATAATATTGATTTAACGCACCTATGGATTACTAGCGAGTATATAGTATTATATTATAATACTGTGCAGGTAAATAAGTGTATTTTAATTTATACTACGACTGTGTTAAAACTTGGAATTTATAAATAAATTATAAATTCACATAATAATAGAGGATAATAATATGGTGTGTTGTGTGAAATGTTTATCAGGGCAGTGTGTGTGTACCGATAGTTAGTGCAGGGTAGACCGTGTGTGTAATATTGTATCGGTAATTTTTAACGGATATAATATTTATTTTACGTATACATTGTCGCGGAAGTAGTGAACACAAAGTACACTTGTCGAGTACGAGTACGCTCCTCGTCAACCGCCACTTCGGGACGTCACTAAAAGCGCGACTAGGTCGTCTCTCCCACCTTACCCTATCACTGGTGAGTAGCAGACATGTAAAATGTCATGTTTTTACTGGCCCGATGAAACCTTTCAAGAACTTTTCATGTTTTCGTGAAATGTATCAACAAAAAAATTGAAACTTTTCATTTTGCTCTTTTAGACCTTTAATTTGATTTTTGTATACCTGTTCCACAAACAAAATTGTTTATTATTCTTTACGTCTTCTCGTCGCCTTACCGAATTTTACAATAGTGATTTATTAGCTGTTATCGATTTATTTTTTAAAATAAAATTAATACTTCAGTAATAGTATCCATCACTCTTTGGCAGTTAATGAAAAGTTTAAAAACTTATCATTTCAACAACCTTGAAACTTTTAAAATTTAATTTCTACAACCTTTGATACTTTTCAAATTTCATGAAAAGTTTAATTTGAACATTTTTGAAACTTTTCATCCTTACACAGTGACGCGGGATCGGCTGTACGGACCGGTGGCAAAGGCCGTGATGACTTTCCCTGATGACGTACCTGTGACTATGGAGTGTAACTTATGGGTACTACTCATATTAGTATTTGGTTGTAATAAAAATATATTATAATAACATCCATTGTACGTTAAATTTTGCATAGTATGCATACCTTGCATAATATTATTTTGGTGTCTGTGTTTATCGCACAACGTTAATAAATTGTAATCAACCACTGAATTCATCGGAGTCCGCGTCAACACGTTGGACGCATAATAAAACATAGTAATATTGGATTGAAATAATATAATATTATATATAATAAAAATATCAGCCACCAACAATACATATATTTTTATCTGTGTGGTCGTGATAAAAACCTTTCATTAAAACTTAGATAATACATACCGGCTCATATAGCTATGATTTTAAATCTTGAAGCACATTAGATCACACACAAAACATAACCGAAATTGTGTTACTCCGTCCACGTGCGCAATAAATTCACCTAGGCCGAACAGGACGAACAAATCGTTGATTTACGCATAGGACATAGCTCTATCCTATCTAAGTTAAGCCACAGATGAAAAAAGCTTACTAAGAAATTGTAATGTAACCACAATATAATATGTCGTTTCATCACACGCCTGCGATGAACCATATAGTGTATTTTTGAAGTAAGACTTCTTTCTTGAGGTGTGGGTGGAAAAAAAATTGCAAAGCAAAATTAAACGACACCTTTGATGCTAATGTTCTCGGAAACTACTCGACCGATTGCCTTGATATTATTTTTTTTTAGTTATTTGAAGTCATTATAAGAAACTCTATACAATAGCACATTTTTCTTTACTCGATTTAGTAGTTACTTAATATTATATTTACTATACTCGGTAGACTTAACACGACACATATATTTCAATACGTTATAATGCATTTTCTATACAGTTAGTTACTAATAAGTAATATTATATCGACGCCCCAGTATATATATATATATATCATGCTAGACGATAGTCATCGTACCTACTAATCATTGCATTAAAAAAAATCTTAACTTTACATAAACATACACGAAACGACTGATTTCATGATATGAGTACTTTATAGTATTGTACATAAAATTATTATATTAAATACTAGCTGACCCCGTGCACTTCGTTGCCCATTAAAAATGCCAACTCTATATTATAATATTATGATTCAAACTTTGTTCAATTCTTTATTTAATATTTGTTGTTCAAAACTTAAAAATGTTCATCGATCATCTTGAATCACAAAATACTTGTGTATAAGCATTACATTAAAATGAAAATTTTGGAAAATGCTTTCTCAGTGGAAATTTATGTGGTAACACGGGGGTACACTGATAGTTGCAAGCCTCGGGCTATCATTGTTTAGGCTCTACGTTGATCAACCAGTGATACAGTCAAGACACGTTTGATTATATTATATATTATAGCCATCACTAGCTTGTGATTATGCGAGCAGTATATTGTCAGGTTATATTATTATTACTATTATTATTATTATTATATTTTGCAGATTCTGAGAGGTGCGTACGTAAGTGTATAAACTGTATACGTCTAAATCTAAAGTTTCAAAGTTATTAACCATCGTCGTTATTACTGTTGTTATTATTATTTTATTATTACCATATCATTTATATTTACCATCCATCCATTTGTCCCATCTTAATCTCCTTTACAGATTTTAACACAGTAGTTTTCATGGTTTTGACCAAATATAAAATAAAGATCTAAGATTATGTTAATCATAATAACTATTTTATTTTTATACTTAGTAGTAACCTATAATAAACAAAAATATATTATTATTTATTTATTATAGTAAAATTATTATTTATATTATTTCTATACAAAATTATCAAAATTTACAATTAAAAAAATTAGGACCGCTTATCGAGATAAAATATAGCAAATAGATCTTGGGATGATGTCGCTGTCTGATAGTAATATTTTTTTTTATTTTTTTTTTAATCGGTTAAGTAGTTCCATAATATATTATCCCGAACAAACAAACAATTGTTCTTCTTTATACATCAATATAGATTAATGACTATGATGAACAAAAACGGTAATACACTTATGAAATTGATTAGTATTGGCAATATTTGAAATACGAAACTCTTTAATTTTTTACATTACGTCATTACTTTAATTGTATCTGGTAACCTGTAGTGCGTATGTAGAATTTAGAATGTAGCTCTACATAAAACAACACACAATTAAGTAAATATATGCATAAAACAAAATTATATTTATGTGTGATTGATGTGTTGTATGTCATTAAATTAATGGAAACAAAATCAATGTTTGTTATGGATAACCATCAACCCAGTGTAAATAAAAATCAAATAAGTTTTTGCAACGTTAACAGTAATAATTATTGTGATAACAATTGTCAGGTTTCAAATCGGTAAATAAAACACTTGTTTATTTCATAACGTCTCTGAAATATCATGATATATCATTCAAATTAGATTGTTTTTTGAAAAATCTTAAATATTAGTTATTGCATGTTTTAATAAATGTATGCAATGTTGCATATTATATTGTGCCTGTGAACTGCATCCATCGTTGAAGATTCAAGACACCTAAAATATTATTTTCTAATACAAGTTATAAGTAGCGTAGCGAGAGGGTTGTAGATGCCACCCCTCACCGACGGTATTTATTTATTATACAGATATGTGTTAATACAATCGAGAAAAACATATTGTATTACAATATATAGACATTATTTAATATAAATAAATGTTCTAAATATAAATTTTAGTAGGTATTGACAACTATAATAGGTAAGATATTGAATATAAAATATAACATTTTTTTTACACAAATTTTCATAACATCTTCCTAGGATTAACCTAGCTACACACCTGCAAGTTTTTGTCTCTATAATAGATATACCTACTTTAGTTTATAAGGTTTTTTTTTAACATTAGTATTATGAAACTTGAGAAACGAACCAAAGTGAGGTATTTAGCAATTTAAACACATAATATATTTAACACAAGTAGTACATGTTTATTTATATAGGGTTAAACTATATCTAATACAATCCAATTTACAAATAAAATACATTTTTCAAAAAATTTAAATATTAGAGTAAAATTATTTTTGATATGATATTTTTTATTTACTTATTGATAACTTGTTTTAAAAAAACACATGTATGAGTATTAAAAATAGGAACACGACGACGCTGTTGGATTTACATTCGTTGGAAGATCCTGTAACTAAAAACAATAATAATATCGAAAGTTAGATAATGACGTTTACAATACTATGAACAGTGATGTAAAAGACAACTTTTAAGATGTTATGACATTTAAACGGTATTGGATATTTTGTGATCTGAACGGACATCGTAAATAATTAATCAATGTGGGAGTCATGATGTGTGTCTTACAGTGGCGGATCCAGGGCTTAATTTTTATTTTTTTGAGGGGTGGGGCATGGGGGTCTAAAGTTGCAAATGCTAACGTTTTCTGACGAGCATGCGTTTTTACTGTAGGAGCACCTTAAAAGTAGAAGCCAAAACGTAAGCTAGTGAAGGTAAAAAGGGGAAAAAAATCAAATTTTTTTTTTATATCAGCAAATAGATCGTTTCGACACTTCAAAATTGTTCCAAACCGATTTTCAAAAAAAATATGTAATAGCAACTGCAGTTAGTATAGTTATATTATTATTTTCATTTTCGATATCGATGTATGAATAAAAGATAATTTATTACCGAGCAGGAGTGCTTCTCTTTTATCCTGTCTGGGCAGCACTTTCTCGTTGTCACTAGTCCACAATACGGGCGATAGTACTGCCACACACCTGACCCTCACTGCCCCGTTCAACACGGTCTCCGCATCCAGAGGTAAATGCAACCCCAAAGTTGTCGTCACGAGCCCTCGAGGGTGTTTCTGCGCTGGGTACCTCTTCAAAGATTCTTCTTTCGCCTGTGAAACACACGCACACACATATTATAATATGAACTTACTGGGTGTAAAAAGTGAAAAAAAAATAATAAATATATATTTATAACATGACACATAATATTATACGTGCAAAAATCATTATTTTCACCTCCACGTAAAATATTTATAGAAAGCTTTACTTAAACGTGTAAAAAGGCATTTATCTCTCGAACGAATTGTATATAGGTATTTTAATATATTCTTCGAAAAACTAATTGGTTCTTATGCGAAAAAAATTAAGGTGATAATAATTAACGATAAGTATTTTTATCGTGGAATTATACTAGCTATTGGCTATATAAAACAAATATTATTGCGTAATACAGCCAACATCCGCAAAATATTAAAAAATAATATAATATGATAAAAAAAATGCAGCTTTGTCATGATTATAATTTTGTTTTTTGTTTTAAATTACAAGTGAATTAAATTATCTTAAGCGTACCTCCTAGGATAAAAAATAATAATAATAATAAGTTACTGTACTTTTTTACTGTTACTGTTTAACAAAATACATTTATTACAAAGCATTATACATTGTATTATTATTAGAATTATAACAACGTTAAATAATATAATTTAAACACACATAATTTAATGTGATTTAATATTTATAGTTTACTTAACTAAAAGTTGTACATCGTCGAAATAAAATAATAAAATAATCTAAAGTCAATTGTGAACGGTATCTATAAATATTTTTATATACGCCAACATAATATTATAATAATATAAACTTCAGAGTTGATGTTTGAGCGAGAAATTTATACACTTATTTTATACTTTAGTCTGTACATTAATAAAAAGATAAAATAATGAAATACAATAAAATTGAGTACCATCAGAATGAAAAATGTTCAGTATTTCAATTGCATATAATATGTACAGGTATATATGTATAACTGTCAATAAACCTCTTAGGCCAATTGAAATTACATAATAACTGACTAAAGGTTATATTGGGCGTGACAACGAAATGGAAACGGAGTCGGGTAAGTATTTTTGAATTATAGCTCACCGCATTTCGTTTTATATAATATAATACTACCTATACCTAGGTACCAAAATCAAAATCGAATATTTCTCCTATTAGTCCGATTAAACAGGTGTACGTTATGCTTAATATGATGTCAAACCCAGCTATGTTGTATGACTTAAATAACTATATTGAAATCGAACACATTGAAATAATATTATATTGTACTCATTATCAGTGTTTAATCCCATCATCGAACGAAATTCAAGTTGATCGATACGACGCAGATACCCGTACACATGCCCCGACAAAGTACAATATTTATTGGTTCGTTAATGCTTTAAGTCTAAATAACTTTTAGGTGTAAAACTGTCTCGAGTGTCGTTATTTTTATTGGACAAAAAACCACCAGCAATCATGATGCAGAACAGTCTCGTTGCAATCGGTGCCAAATAAAAATAGGAATAAAAACAAATGTTTAGCTTTAAATTCTTATGGCGATGTCCCACGCGTTTGAAGTGAATATTATTCCACAGGCCATAACCATCGTGTAAAAATAACGTGTTATGCGTTGAAATGAAATTTTCTCCAAGGATCATAATTTGTCAGACGGCAATATTCACAATAGAAATTTAAAAAAAAAAAGAAAAGATTTTTGAGGAGAATATTCGTCGTTTTTTCTTTAATGGTTTACTGAGAGTTATGAATAAGTAATGTTGGCAACAATTGAATTGCTCATCAAATATTGGCTCTCCGAAAAAAATGTCTCCAGTTATGTTTGGTGACATCGACACATTGCAGTTCAAGAACTTTATGAAATAAATTATACCGAAATTCCGCGGCTGTCTAAATGAAATTATAATTAGTAAAATATTTAAATAGTGTAAGGTACATTAGTCGATTGTCAAATCAGGTCATTATTATTGCATTTGTTTTTGCATAACAAACTCATCATTTTTTTTTTAATACCGTTACGTTTTATGGCAGAGAGTAAACTGTTTGATGTTTCAAAATATATTTATGAGATAAATCATTGGTGACAAGTGATTTTTATTATAATGTATGATTCATGATTATGTATTTTATGGTAATATTTGTATTGATATTGTGATAAATTATAATATATGTATAATGCATATATAATGAACGTCTTAAAAATCTTATCCAAACATCTGGACCGCTGAACTTAAAATAAATAAACCTATGCGTTAAATAAAGAAACTGAATAATTTAACAGAATCTTGTTTGGACTTCAAAGGGTATAATATAATATTTTTTTTTTTGGTTCATTTCGAGTGTTCTCCAATTATGTAAACAATAAATAAACAGATTTTTTAATAGTATTTGTACATAAATATGAACGATAAAATATTATGTGGGTACTAAGAGTTTAAAAACAAATCGTGAAAATGATAATGTGTTCTATAGTCTAACCGGGATATGAGCGCCGCGAACTTTAGGTTTCATAAAACCATGGTAAACGATCGTTAGGTTTTTACCATGGATCCGATTTGGCGGGTAAACCTTCTAGTGGAAATTATAAGTTATTCTTATAATATAATAATATCATATTATAGTGATGAAAATTCAAATTCACTTCAACCCTTGCTCGACTGTATAATTACGGTTCGTACACCGGATTTTGGCAAGGGGTACCCCCTTATATGACAAAAAAAAAACCACACCGTGACCGAAATGCGTGCATGAAGCTTGCGTGTAATAATCCTTTTCACCGGCACATCATATTTTAAACGCCATTATGCAAAAGACAACCTCGTTAAGAAATTCTCGAGTTATTTATTTGTTTACATTTTTTACCGGCGGCTTAGAGTCGTTCTATGCAGCAATTTAGTAGTCGGTGTAAAAAATAATATAGTGCTGTGCTAAACGGGACCCATCATCAATGGTAAATAAATCATTGTGCGAACATCACCACAATAATAATTGCGATACGCACCTATTACACAATACATTATAATCATTTAATTTTAATCGATTTTTGTCGAATTTAAGTAACGTTTTTTACCACTATTTATAAGGCGTAATAATAATGTATGTTTATTTTTTGACAATTTTTTTTCCTGGGATAACTCGGTTTTGTCGAGTTCGGATACATTAAAAAATCATTGGTTCTCATTCACAAACATTCCTACTCACTTACCTACATCGTGTATAACTAAGGTTTAATAACTATACCTACGACATAAAGCACAAACATTAAAAATTAATATTTCATCTTAATTTACCATTCCAATGTGTAGTATACAATCATTGTGCTATACTATACCGACTATAATATATTCCATATTTATAGTTGACCAATGTAATGTTTATGCATGACTATATAAAATATTAATAATATATTCATTAAAGGTACCTACAGTGACATGTGCACATAGGTATTTTATTATGAATTATAGAAAAAAAGAACGTTAACAATACACCGCGTAACGAGGGGTGTGGAATTATATCGTTTCTATATACCTATTATATACCAATATATATATTAAAATATTTATGCATAATTATATCGTTATAATGTTGGCCAGTCATCAAAGCGTGGTGGATACATTTTCAAAAGTGGTTGATTAATTATTTTATTGGCATTTATGTTTTAATGACAAATGATTCAATCACACTATTTTTATAACACAATATATGTATATATGGAATAATACAATTATGCGGATTCTGTGACTATACCAATGACGGATGTACATTCAAACAGTTTTAAATAAAATGCCCTTTTTGTTTGTCATTATTGAGAACAACGAATATTTACAATCTGTACAATCAAATAATAGAATAAGTAATATTATATAATATATATTATATAAACATTGACGACTTGAAATAAAATACCTAATTATATTCATAATATTGTTAATAGCATTTCTGAACATGCTGCAAAAATGTTATGAGTACATTTTAATCAAAAATTAATAATTTTATTGTTACCTATTTTTTTTTTTTCATTTATATAGGTAAATATATTTTTAAATTAACTGTCGATAAAAGATCTACATAACTCTCTCAACGAATTGTCTCTGTGGTTCTCAAGACGGAAACTTACCCTGAATCCCACCAAAAGTGAAGCCAAGATAATTTAACACAAGAAAATACGTAAATATATTATAACATAGCATTAGTACAAATTAACGACCAATTGAACAGCAAGGATACTGCTTCTCCGACGAAAGTAAAAATTTAAAATTCTCCAAAACAAGTTCCTAAGAATAGTACTTGAAGCCCCAGGGTGCATCCGAAACAAACAACTCTACAATGACATAGGATAGTCCAATCTATCATCGTGGATAATTACAAAAACTTCAACAATATTTTAAATAAAACCGAAGGAGCTCTACATTACAAAATCGGTTTAAAAACTTCTAAACCACCCTTACTACAAGACATCGAGACCAACCAGAAAACCAACAAAGAAGATATTTATTTGTTTAATCATGTTTCATGTATTTATTAAAAATATATAACTTTGTAAAAGCATTTGGCATATTAAAACAGTTAGATAATTAATTAAATAAAAAAATGTTTTATTCATACAGCTTTATCATAACGTCTTATCAGTAATAAATGTGTGATGAAAAATACATAACCTCAGATATACGATACACTATATTATTATTATTATTATTATTATTATTCATGGATAACACTTAATTATGTTCGTAAATTATATTATTGTTTTATATATAGAATGTATTGCCAAAAAAAAGAATATATTCTTACAAAAAGGAATATGTTCCGTTAACTGAGATAGTATTACCACTACATAGTATACTACGTGTCCGTCTAGAAAATCTAATGCCTTTCAAGTTCTCTGCCAATATGAATGTGTAAGCTTTTGAAATATTTGTCAAGTCCAACAGACCGGAATTCATCCGTTTCGCATGTGTCTTAGACCCGAGAGGATTACACGTATAAGGTGGTGAAATGGATTTTCATTCAACTCAAGAAGCTAATGCTTTGTCGCTTCATGAATGGTCGGACTAAGCACACACGTTTAAGCGCCATAGGTATTAAAGCATTTTATTCCATACCTATATTATGGCATATACTTAGGTTTCGAAAAGTAAAACACAATATATTATTTACTTTGTCTACTATTCCCCCACGTTCAGGGGTGTTGATAAAAATCATTTTTTAATAAACTATCATAATATTATCATACGTCACTACGTTAATAATTTCAGATGGGACTTTCGGGTCACTGTGGCTGTGGACGCGAGTCCTGTGAGAACTAAATTTAAAATTCCCCCGTTATCTCGGTACAATATATTATAGAAATGGAGTTGATGGATTTTCAAATTAATTTTCAACAATCAGCTATAGGCACCTATTATAGTAATATGTTTAAAGTTACCGACCGTCGTAGGGTTATTTACGGGTTCGCTAAAACTGTTTGGCGTCAGCTCGAAAACGATCTATTTCAACTAATAAACAATGGTTTTTAATTGTGTTTGCGTTCCACAAGTCACTACACACTTATATATATATATAATATATTATATTGGGATCGAGAGTTTTGGGTAAATTCTCGAGCTATCGCAGCACTCGTGTGCGTTAATGTAGTCACTATATGCTGTTTGGACAGCAATTAATTAAGCACCTGCAGCAAGTGTATATTAGCGGAATCTCGGTGTAACGGAATTAAACACGAGAAAGAAAAACGAATCCGAATCGGCCGCCGCCGCCGCCGCCACCGTTTTGTTGTGCTCGAATTTATCTTTGGCGCCGCCCTAAATCCGATGTACGGCCGAGGTTGTGGGTTTCATTAGCGCCTCGATCGTGCCGTATACGTATCGTCGTCTTTCGTCTCCGGCAATAAAACCTGCAAGTCGATGAAAACATAGCCGCGTTGGAGAAGGGGGGGGGGAGGAGGAAATAAAGATTTTATTATTTTTCACGCCCGTAAATATATTATCTGGTACACTTTTTCGAACGCTCCAGCAGTTCAATCCGGCGACCAGGTCTGTGTCGTAAAAAAAAAATTTAAAAAAAAAAATGTGTTTTTACTCTAAACGCTATAAACATATTATTATTATTTTAAAACGCACGGACGAATGAAGTCGGATCAGATTTAAATCGCCGAGCCCCGGGCAATGCAGTTTCCCGTTTCAACCGAAATACGGTCTTTGGGCACGATCGGATAAGCGAAATGCACCAGCTATTATATTATTGTTGTTGTTGTTGTTGTTGTTGTTATTATTATTATACAGTTGTTGTTATTAATTTGAACGTTTCGCCGTTGTTTGTGAGTTGCTCAGCGAATGTTTGGCAATAGTTTCAAAATAAAACTTAGACATAGGCAGGGGTGATAGGTAACAACTACTAAACGTTTGTAAATACGATTTGATTATAATATTGAACAAAGCTCTCTTCAAACGACTTGACAAAAAACTCATTCTTTAAATTAATGATGAAAGACGTTTAATATTAGATAACGAAATGTAGTAACTATACCTACTTCGTTCATTGTGTTTCATAACCTAATCTAACTAAAATAATGATATGACCGTCCAAACTCAACTCGTTTTCACTCTAAATAAATGTACAACAGCTATATTTATTGACATTGATAATAGTCAAATGTATTATACTAAAAGCACCATTATAGGTAATAACAATTTATAACCATATAATAAAGGCAATTACAAGTAATTACTTAAATTTTTCAAACTTGAAAAATTATTCACGTTACATTGTAAAAACTAAATTAAATATTTATATACTGACAACAACTTTTCAAATTTTATTTTTATTAAGTCACTAAACCGAATGAAAGTTTTTACATTATATTAATAGTTATTATTATTATATACGTTTTTTTAGGATCGTAATCTGGTAATCAAAGGTTATGAATTAAACAAGAAAAAAAACTTAAACACTTAAAATGGAACATTGTTTAACAAGTTCAACAATTTGTTGTTCTGATCTGACATTTTAATGGTTAATTGTAATACATTAAATATCCGTTACTTATAGTAAATTTGTTTTTTTATTTATTTTCTCACGTCAGACATGGAATGCGTATCCGCTATAAATAATTTATACGTTTCAGTGTCATTCAACCTATTTTTAATTTATCTAATTTATAGTCTAAAAGATAGAGTACCTACATTTCTGAGCGAAAAGTAATTAGTTTGTTTTTAAATTTATACGGTTTGAATTCTTTACGTATATAGAATCAAATTGCATGTAACTTTCTCCATCATATTTATATTCAAATTATAGTAATTCATATTATTTCAATTATAATAATGATAAGATAGTACCCGACTCATTTTTATTATTTTTAATTTAGTATTTGGTAATGTTTTATCTATAAAGTTTGGTTATCTTTTGCAAATCCTCGTCGTGTACAAAAGGTTGAAAAGATAAAATAAATATTAATGTAAAATATTAGATATAGAAGAACTATGTTAAAATAAAGCATTATTTTTATCTACATACAATTCAGCTTATATTTATATAATACGCACATATATATCTATGAAACTTGGGTTTTTGAAGTAAAATAAATATATCGTTTATCTATTCGTATACCGAATAAATATAAAAGATAGAACACGTCGTTGTTGAGTAAGAAAAACAATATTATGTGTCTTATGTTTTCGCAAAACATGTTAAGAAGCAATATACATTTATATCAAATATATAATATTATATTTGTCGTATAAAATCCTTGAACAGAAAATAAATCGACATAAATCTAACTAACTACACGTCTTACTACAGCTATTCTAAACGTGTTACAATAATATTTTTTATCACATTTTTACCCCATTTCATTAGTATACCTACGCAGACTGTCGTCGATGTTAAAGGACCCTAAAAGATATAAGGAATCAAAATGATGTAAATCAAACAGATTTAAATTGTGCATAGGCACATTTTATATGCGGGCGTAGTATATAGTTACCCATCGCAAAATAAAAACCGTATCATCGCGGCGTAGTAATACTTGATAAAAATATAATTTAAATTGCATGTTCATCTACAGTGTTGATCGAAAAATAGTATATAGAGGGGTGAAATTTTAAATGAAAAAAAAATTATTGTTACGACACAAAAAGAGGATTTAGCTTTTATAATGTAGTCGGTGAAATATGTAATTTCGTTCCGGTGTACTTTGCTGGCAGACACACACACGCACACACACACACACAAAGTATATTTAATATTATAAATATAGATGGTATCTGTATACAGTCGTGTACTTGCACCGTCCGGGACACGAGGGGGGGGGACGGTGAACGTAGTTTATGACTGTACAACATTATATTATTATAACCTGTCTTTGAACAGACCATTTCATATCGGGAATATTATGACCGCATAAAGGGTCGCACGGTGTCCAGAGACCTTTATAGAAACACGCATCTACTGCTAGCTGCAGTTATCGAATACGACGAAACTCGCCGGAAACCATTTATTTATGTTTTATTTTCTAGATTATTATTATCATTATTATTTTAACACGAGTCAAAAGATTTAACTTTTAGTTTAATTTTCAATTAAAATAATTGAAAATGCTGTTATATATAGATATATACATATTATATAGTTTACCATACTTGAGTTATTTTAGTTTAAAAATATCAAATATTAATATCCAACAATGCAGATAGCATACTCTATCGAATATAATAATTATAATATGCCATTGAACTACTGAACAGGTTTTGTTTTTTAAATATTACTTTTTGTTTTAGGTTCAAATAAAATCTAGTAGGTAAGCGAAGAATTACCGTTATTTACTTACCGAAATGTTGTTTATGAACCAATGAAGACTGGATGCTGGGTAAGATTTGGCTGAAGTGCAGTTCAAATTGATCGTGTCGCCAAACTGGTAAATTGACTTATCGCCAGTGATGTATGGACCATCTTTAGGCAAGTCTGAAAAATGAAAATAAAAATTGGTTATAGTCTGTTATAAGTTTGATGTTTTAATGTGTGGAATTGTTTAAAATAGTTGTTATCTAATTTTATTTTTCGTTATTCTTGCGGAAACTAATCGCCTTAGGTACCCCTCATTATACTATCAGCTTAGTTTAGTTAACCGTTACATAACATCAAAAATTATTCCGTGACATAATATTCACAATGATTTTAAGACGTTCCGTAATGGAATTGGACAATATTATAAGCTAATAAATCATTTTTATTCGTATATTTCATTTTGAATTTTTTTTTTTCTAGTGGGCTGATTACCATTTAGCTATTAGTTAAGGTAGACCACTTGATTTGATAACTACTCGAAATTATGAAATGAAAACTAACTAAAACAAAAATTGTACATCAAAATATTATCATAAATTCATTTAGTACTTGGAACGTTTTAAAATAATATTATTCTACTCGGTAAAGCACCTATATTGCCTATGTGGGACGCCGTCTAACCGCTAATATATTATTATTATTAAAGAAAATATAAATAATATGACTTGTAGAGATCTTGTTATATTATGATATTGTTTAGTTCACCTAATTTGGTGTGTTTGAGTTTTATTTTTAGGTAAAATGTTAAATAGTGATTCAATTTTTAAGGGAGTTACTAAAGCATTAAACGCACATTAATATTTGATATCTGGTGAATGATGATATATTCCGATAACTATCGGAAACAATGGCAAATTGATATTCATACGATTGATACGAGGAAATTATAATATGCCGTTATAATTACATTTATATTGAAATTTAAATTTAAAATTTATCAAAAACAACTACATACCTAATAATAATAATTCTGGATAATAGAGACATTTTAAACTGTATAGTACCTACCTATTGTCTATATTTGTGTTAAATATTTTAATTAATTTGCTCTATTGTTGTTTTTATTATTCCACAAAACACAAATATTTAAACCTTGTTGTTTGTAGCTTTACAATATGATTAAAATTGGAGTAGTATAATAGCATTTTAATACCTACCTATACAGCTTTATATTTTATTAAATTTTCAGGGTGAAAATGTATGTTATTAATACAATTGAATTTCGTTTTTTTCATATGAAATCATATTTCAATATTATTGACTGAAGCGTAAAATAAATATAAATAGTTTAGTATCTCATGTGGTCGTTTTTATTATAATTATTAGTATACGGACTTTAATTGAAATGTGTTTACTCTTGATAATAAATAGTTTTAATAACGCACTAATAATTTTCGTATAAATTTGATAACATTTCATAATTATAAACAAATATAAAATGTAAAATAATATATGTCGATTACAACTAATTAAAAATGTAAACATATTTACAAAGTCATGTCTTAAAATCAACGGCCAATAAATTGTTTATTTAACACAAAGCGTTTTATTAGTTTTAAACTATAACTACAATATTGTATGCTCCAATACATTTTGTTTAATAATTTAGTAATATATTGTGTTTCATTGAAACTTTATTTTAGATAAAATTATTGATTTCATACAAATAATTATTAGAAGTTAAATATGAATATAATATACAGAATGTACATTAAAAAACTCATGTAATTTCTACTTGGTAGGTTATATTAAAATATTAAAACTTTTTTTTTTAAATTCATACCGTTTTGACTTATGAGTACCTATTTAAATACTCATACATTATAATAACTTGTTTTAAAAACGAGTTATTCAGAATTATATTATCACATAAACATAAGATAAGTGCTAAGCTGTTTTGATTCAACTGTAAGACAATTAAACAAAGACCCTCTACGGAACAGAGAAAAATATAAAAACACCTACATGACTTGTTGTAGGTACTCATAAAGATATCATATTTATAAAAAAAAAAACCACATAATATTACAGTTTATGTCAATACTTGAACAGTAAATTACAACAATTTCAGTTTTCTTTTACTATTATTATTATTACTACCAGTGCTATAATACAGGCCATCAGTGCATTTTACACACAACCTCTGAGATCTTCCTTTCACAACAGTTATGCCTTGCAGTTACCATTTCCATTGAGCGGTCGACTTCTATTCTAATATATATCTTTATTATTCTAACTTATAATTACAAGACCGGTGAGGACATCTCTTGAGTCGCATTTTAGTTGGATTTCCAAGTAGAAAGTTTTGTATTAGACTTCTATCAGGCTGCCAACCGTGGATTCAAACCGATTTACCTTAAGGATCGCATTCTAATATTAATTGTACTATTTTGCAACATTTCTAGTTATGCGTTTTTTCGTCTCTGCTCATACTCCTCCAAGTCTTGAGTTCGCACTGGTCTATACAATTCCTGAGGAATTTTTTTTTTATTAATTTAAGTCTAATCAGGGTTTTGGTTTTGGTTTCTAATTAATAATTGTTCAGTTTATATATTTATTCCGTAAGATACGACAGATCACGGAATATCATTAAAATTTTACATGACTAAAATAATAATTCAAACACTCATATTAGTTGACACCATAATAATTGGACCTCGATTTTATTTGATATCAGTATATACTGAACAGCGTGCGAAAATTATTTCAAATCAGCGTTATCGAATAATGCACATAAGTATTATATAATGTATTAGGTACGTCAAACGCTTTATAAAAGACACTTTTTTCGTTTTAATTAAAAATTAAGCACCTGTCAATTATTATTATTATTATTATTATTGTAACATATTTTTTCAAAACATTTTTTTTTTTGTTATAATGGCGCACACGGGTAAAAAATTAATCTACAAAGTATTCGGAACGTCCATTTTTTTCGCCACCAAAACCCTATAAGTTTAAACTGTCTATAATATGTAGGTATCGAGCTCGAAAGAATATTGTTTTTTTTAAAAAAATATACAAAACATATACACTTTCTGTTGTATGAAACACAGTCTCGAGACGTGCGACTTGTTCACATAATATTATACAGAGTGATTCACAAAGCATAGTCAACCCCATTGTAGCTTTTAATAATGAATTTGTTCAAACTATAATTTTTTTTGCCATTTGTGATATACCAATAACTTATTTATTTCAAATAAGTATCACTATTTTTCCTGTAAACTAATAAGCCGATGACAAAATGTAATAATTACTAAATTCTACATTAAATCTAAAGATATTTTATACTTCTGTAAATCCATTTTTAAGGAATGCTATGCTTACTGCTATTAGAACATACATTTTAATAACTCGAAAACTACTCGCTCCAAAATGTATTTAGATATGCAGATACATCGACATTTTCTAAAATATCATCTGCTCGTAATAATTTACAGTAAAAAAGGCTGAGGCTATCATTTGAAAAATATAAGTTTGTATCGTCTCAGGACACTTATCGCATAAACAGTGTAAAAATTCCGAATGTTTGATAACTACACTTAGATCGATCAAGTAAACATTTTTAAAAACGGAATTCACATAAAATATGTAATACATATTGTGTAAGTAAAATAAAAAAAAAATAAAAAAATCGAGGATGAGCAGCTCGGTGGTTCACCCTGCATAATATAATATCACACCGGCTACGATACTCATATAATATTGTAATAATATACTGCGGCGGGTATACCGTAACCATACAACTACGACCGTTGTGCACGACGTCAAAACAAATAACGAATCGTTTTCAATTTACTTTATTAGGTAAAACCCTATTGTTTTATTTACACGTTGTTTGTCTACGAGATTTCCCCGGTGAGAGGATTTTTATCCGGTCCGTGTCGGAGCGATGTCCACATAATCCCGTCGTCACCCGCAGGTTGGGGTATAGTTACACAACACTGTGCCTAAACCCGAAGGAGGTCCTCGAACCCATGTGGGTCCACTCAGACTAGGTACATTATATTCAATAATTGTAGACGACGATGTATGGCGTAATGCGATCATATGATATTAATAATATGATACGGTTTGAACACCACTATTACATAGACTAGTTTGTAATATAATTATTATTACACTCATCACAGATGGATTCGCTGAGTTATAAACAATTCGATCCACGACGCAAGGCGATAGTGATGGCAGCATAACATTGTATATTATATACTACAACACAGTGCAATATTAAACGGTTTAAAGTTTTTGGACAGTGCCACATGAATCGTATATACCTAGTTGAGTTTCATGTCCCGAACCATTCTACGGTTTTCGGTTAGGTTAGGTGGTAGCTGCCCCCTGGCGTTTTGAATTTAAGCCAAAGATTTCGCGTGAATAAATAAAAAAAATTAATTAGTTTGTAGTTTTAACCACAGTTTTAGATTTTTATAAATATGTTTTGATACAACGGGTAACTATTATTTTTTTTTTTAAACTAACCGAAATAAAAACAAAATAATCACAATCGAAATTAGTTTAACCCGGTAAGTCATTAAGTTAATTTGAAAATTAACTAACATGTTGTGCGTGAAATCTTAAAAAAAATATGTTTAATCAACTAATGCCCACCGCCTTAAGTATGGTTACACGTAAGTTAAACACATAGTATAATACAAAAATTACTAACTTGATATTATTATGTTTTCGGCAGTTATACAATTCTACAAGAAACACTTTTAAGTGTTTATATTTATTATTGCTGTATTTTTTGAGGGGAAGAGATGAAAATGGCTTCTAATCCATTGCCAATATACGTCAAGATACAATAAAATATAAGTAAAAAGTATTGTCTTATCTTTCGTCCCCCCTCCCACCACCACAGACATATAATAACTCCAAGTTACTCCAAAGATGCTTCGCAGAGCCAATTAAATTATGACTTATTTGGACTCGTGCGACTATTATACTGCACTCAATTTTATTATAATTTTCTTGTTTGCAGTATGAATTTAAAATCGAATTATCCGTTTCACGGTTACTGAGTTCGACGTCGAATTTCACTCAATTTTTTTTTTCTTCGTGCACTAAAAATAGAGTACCCATTATTATATTATTATAATGTTTGGTTGTTC